GGGGGGGGGATGCAAAATAAAATATTCATGGATCTGTTCGACCCATACGGCTGGATTTTTGCAATCAAAGGCTCTAAAGATAGGCATAATGTTGACAAAATTTCCCATGCAAGTGGGTAGTATATGGCCTTGTCATTACTCGAAATTTTTAGTTTTGGGAAATTATTGCAATCATTGAGTATTTGAAGTTTTGGCATAGCGTGGATCTCACCTTGCTTGGTGAAGCCACAATACAACTAGGCTGTTTTATTGTATTTTCCCAGCCCTCCCTCCCGCATTTTGTTTCTTTATGCAAAATACCTTTTAAGTATAGCTTTGCGTGTTGTGTTTCTTTTACGGCATCGCTAAAACCTCTCATACCTTTAGGCATTTTTCATGCTATTTGGCGTTTTTGATGCTACTTGGTAGGACTGGTGCATCGGCTATTAATGGGGGGTAGAGGCTTTTCCTGTAAATTCTCTCCAAATTATCAAGCATATCTGTGGGTTATTTTGTAACTTCCTTTAGTAACCCTTTTTAGTGATTTATAGAACGTTGAGCGATTTGCGCCAATGCACCAACGGCCCAACTCGCTCTCGATGATGTGGGAATGTAGCCTCATGACTGTCGTTCTGATGTCTATGGCAGTTTCATGCCCTCTGAGGGAGCTTTATGCCTTTTATATTGTATTGATATTTCATTACCGAGTTAGTAAATCAACCAATCCTAAGCTGTAGCAGTTCTTCTTGCCTGGGAACCCTTGATTTTCCAATTTTTTGGTGTCTTATCTCGTTAAATTTATTTCTTGAGTATTTGATTTTTTCTCTGAATCGGACTCAGTGAAGGCCTGGTAGGGGGGACAGGGCTCCCCAACTGACTTTTTCATAGGAGCGCTAAAGCTTGCATAAGGCACCGAAAACTCGAAAAAAGTTTGATACGACCGACTTTTCTTGTTATTGGGTCTCTAGGAGGTCAGCAGGGACAAAGAAAACGTCTTAAAATTCAAAACTTTCTTGGGCTGCATGCCCTCATACCCCCTAGAACAGTTTCCCTTCAGGGCACGCCTTTGTGCCCTTTTAGTACTGCATTATATAGACAACAAATTTGTACTGTTCGCATTGGCGCAAAAAATTAATCATATTTTGACCCATGAGTGGAGGGCACTGCACACATGGGGCACACAGACATACTCCGAAGACAGTCTGTGTTTATCGGTGTTTAGGATGTCCTGACTCAAGCCCCACCCACTTCTAGGGAAAAATTTGAATTTCAATGAGTCTCTTTGGCTCTACTGGCCTTCAGAGACCTAATTAACAGACTATTCGGTTGTTTAATTCCTTCATCCTAGATAAGTCCATCTGTTGTCTCAAGTAACTTCCACGAACGTACAGTACTAGGTGCACAAGATAGCAAGAAATAGCGCTAAAAAGTGAATTAAAAGCTAAAACACAATAAAACCAGCTCTTTTTATGTTTCTTAAAAAAGGATAAATTAAATATATTACTTTTAACTCAAAACATTGACTTCATGTTTTTTGAGGAACGCTGGGGAAGGGGGCGCAGGGGATCAACTGCCGCTGTTGCCTTTTGATAGGATGGGCAAGGGGGGCCAGAGTGCCCTTTTCATTTAAGTGCCTTTGAAACCGGCCATTTTTAATAATCAGATAGATTTGTATTAAATTCTGGTTGTAGTGCCTAATTTATTAAGAAATTCCTCAAAACTTGTAAAAAAAATTCCTTATGCCAAAAGATGGCAATGTTCAAGATACCTACAGAAGATCGAAATAAAATGGCAGATACGAAGGAATTAGTAGAAGCTGAAAATTATCTTTCGAATGCCTTTTAACTCAAGCCTGCACCCCCCCCCCCCCCCCCCCCCCCCTCTTGCCCCTTGGTCGTTCCAGCGTCGCTGATGTTTTGTAACGAGTAGGTACTTCAGGTCCCTTTTCAATGGCCATACATTGATTTTGACAAGAAAGTTGGGTCCGGCCTAATTTTCTTAACGGTTGCGTTTTGTTTGGTCATTAATTCGATAAAATTACTTCTTCAAAGTCCGATGAAATATTTGCTTCGTTTTGTATCAAATGACATAGCCTTATAATCATTTCTAGCTCCTTCCACTTGTGTCATAGTGAATCCAAAGATATTTTAGAAATTGCATTTTCTAGCGTTTTGAGTAACTGGAATCCTCCACTTATTGGCTAGGACAGACTCTTTCCGTCATTTGTTACCCCGACACCCCCTAATTTGCCCCCTGACTGTAAGCTGTGTTATATGTACCTTTTGAGCTTGTTTAGTTGCCCAAAAGTACACTTTTAGCAAAAAAAAGGTAAATATTTTATCTGGCGCTTTGGATTCCCCTCCAAGGTGACAAATGAACACCACAGTTACAAAGAAAACAAAACCCTCATTTTACCACATCGTAGGGGTAAACCTTGGATTTTCCCCAAACATGTACTTGACACATTTTTATTTACTTTATCTGCTTGGATTGGCTTCGAAGAGACATGCCTTTTAAGAGGAAAAGACCAGAAAATTGTAAAGTAGTATAATTTATGACACTTGACTTAGAAAAAATGATTAAGTTGGTTGAGCATCTGATTCTTTCTATTTTAATATGTCATGTCTAAATCCATCAAAAAATTACAACGAAAATCTAGAATCATAAATTATCTAGATTTCTCGACCCTCCTATGAGTTTTTCTATCTACGACACTGGATCTAAGAATTTAATCTGGGGCCTAGTTTACTCGCAAGCATGAAAATTGAAGCTTCAATTTTCATTACATTTTCCCTCTAGTTTAGTTTTAGAGTAAAAGTACAAAATTCAAAAATATCTTAAAATGAAAAAAAAAGATTTATGAAATTAGCAAAGAGATAGATTAAAGGTCAGACATTTCAGGCATTCTTATGGTAACCAACAACCTTTTGTTTATAGGTGCAACATATCGAAGCTGCAAAGACGCATACAAAGCAGGAAACCTTGGCAGCGGAGTCATCAAGATACGGTTACCAGGCGGTAAATCTGCACAAGTATACTGTGATATGGAAACAGACGGTGGAGGGTGGACTGTGTTTTTACGGAGAGTGACAAATCAAACAAATTTCAACAGAACATGGCAGGAATGTACACAAGGCTTTGGTGATTTGGAGGGCAATTTCTGGTTGGGGCTGGACACAATCCACTATTTGACAAACCGTGAAAATGTCACCTTGAGAATAGACCTTAAAGCGACAAACGGCACGCAAGGGTTTGCAAAGTATACTGAATTTCTCATTGCAGGAAGGGAGACAGAGTACACAATACATATTGGTGGATACGCAGGTGACATTGGAGACTCCATGGAAACTGGTTACAAATTCTCAACTTGGGACAACGACAATGATAACGCATCTTATGTGAATTGTGCTGCCACCCGTGGCGGGCCGTGGTGGCATAATAGCTGTGGCACTTCCCGCCTAATGAACCTTTTCTTTCTAGAAAACGGGAGTAGACATGAGAAAATGAAATGGAAATCATTGGGGGAATTTTCCCATAAGATCACTTTCGCAGAGATGAAACTGCGTGAATAGTTCAATAACATTTTTGCAGGTTTTATTGTTGTTTTTGCCAGTTCCATAAGCTTTAGAACCAGGACAAACTCACGGCGGTTTGCTGTAGACAGGGAATTTTGTAGAAAAAACTAGCAAACTGCCTAACCTCAAATTTTATTTCACATTCTTACTAAATCGACCATGGAGATTCCAAATCCAAGATGGGCCAAAAAAAATTATCACCGGAAGTTACTGTTTTTGATGACGTCATCAAAAAAATGATAAAAAATCTTTAAAAATCGGCCAAGGACTCGAACTCAACTTTTTTTGCATTTTTGCACTAAATTAATTATGCAGATTTCAAATCTGAGATGAAATGAAAAATATCTTGAACGGAAGTCAAATTTTGTGATGACGTCATCAACTTGGAGAAAATTCACTTTGAACCTTTTTAATTGTTTTCTCGCAACTATCATTGTCAAATATGTTCCATATTCGAATTGCACACATTCAGTGCTTTTAAAAGATGTATTGAATTTCTATTATACTTACTTTTAAACGTTCTTTCATGACGTCATCATCATTTTATGACGTCATCGCCTTTTAAAGGTAATTGAATAACGCGTGAAAGGATGCCTTAAAAATCTTTAGCTAGTTAAAAAAGTCATTCAAAATTAAAATTTCGTTGTATAGAAAATGATATGGATCCATTCATCCTTCATCACTGTCTCCTTTGCTGGAACTCCAGAAGAAAATGTAGTTCCACTTATCATCGTCTGCTTTAAGCTGATCACCTCACCATAATTTTTCCCATGGCCTAGTCCTCATTGGTTACGGAATTTTCT